TGCCATCAATACCCCTCGTAATGGGCGGGGTCTTTAGTCTTGGCGATCGCATGGCCGCGTCTGTCGATAAAACATACCGCGGACAACAATTCAGGCGGTCCAGGCAGAGAGGGGCGGGTGGGTAGCGGGTAGCGGCCCTCGACATGGGAACGACACACGCAGCAGAACTTAGTGCGAGTAGGAGAGGCAGCTAGCTTAGTGCGGTGAAAATACAAAACAGAGTGCTCTCATTTTTCCTACTCTTTGTAAAAATCCGACTATAGTTCCCCCATTTTTTTCAGAAATTTACCTCCAAATTTGAAGGGGGGACTCTATTGGGAGGTAAAGATCCGGGAAGTGCTCATTTAAATTTCACCGTCGATTTTGTGGTTGTGGTACACTAGAGGTCTTTCTCAACACATTCCGTATACAAATCTCATTGTTCCAAACCAGTTTACGTCTAAAATATTCATTGTATAAGCTATTCTAAAAGTACTCCAACTCTAGACTGTTTTTGAAATGTCCCGGCCTGAGGAGAGGCACGGCCTACTTGACTCTTCCGCGTCCACCCGCGATCGTCTGGGGATTCCTGTCGGCGAGTTTCTGCTGTTGTGTGTGTGTTTACCTGTCATAGCGAATGGTGGTTGATGTACAGGGTGAAACCAAAATTCATAACCACGCCCAATAAGGAAGATACTGTAGAGAGACGGGGGACTTCCAAAATCCAAGTGAAGCAGTACCAGAGGAGGAGTTTTGATGCCAATTTCAAGAAAATTGTTCTAAATTACGCTAAGGTAAATGGAGGCTGCTAAATTAAGGCTGCCGCACAGCAATATAATGTTGAGCCGAAGAGTTGCGGGACTGGCGTGACCAGGAGGAAGACTTGAGGTGTTGTAATGCAACCCGTCAAGCTTTTCGCGGCTTAAAGAAAGAAAGATTTCCCGAAATTGACGGTAGGGTCCTGCAGTTTATAAGAGAAACTCGCTCCGAATTCAACTCCGTGTCTCGAAACATGATCCGGCGAGAGGCGAGAGGCTCTAAGAGTACGCGATGAGCTAAAAATATCTAGGCACCAATTCAAAGGCAGCATGAAGTGGGATGACAGAATGATGAAGAGAAAGGGTCTGAGTGTCGGGAGGCGAACGACGATTGCCCCAAAACTTCCTCAAGATTACAAGGAGAAGTTGACAAGATTTCAAAGGTAAGAGGCGATCTAATAATGCACAATTTTCGATGTTTCAAGTCCGCAGCATCGCTTATAACCGGTAATATTATTGCAGGTTCGTCATTACGCTGACGAAACGAAGCAATCACCTTCCCGGGCAGATCGGCAATGCTGATCAGACGACGCTCTACCTCGACATGCCCAGCAGGACATCTGTGGAGGAGAAAGGAAAGAAATCTGTGACGATCAAGACGACAAGATTCACCGTAATGTTGGCGAAAACTGCGGATGGACGTAAGCTCCCTCCCTACATTGTGTTTAAACGAAAGACAGTGCCTACAGGAAGCTTCCCGCCTGGGATGTTCATTCGGGCTGCCGAGGCCGAGAGCGGATCGTTCAACGAGGACATTGCAATCGACTGGCTTAACAATGTTTGGGCAAGGCGCCCAGGTGCACTCCTCAACCTGAACAACATGTTGGTGCTGGACAGCTTCAGAGGGCACCTCACTGAGAGGGTAAAGGCAAAATTCAGGAGAATGACTACAGACATGGTCATCATTCCAGGGGAGATGACCAGTTTGCTCCAGCCACTGGATATCAGTGTGAACAAACCCTTTAAAAATAAAATTGAAGAATGCTACTCAGATTGGATGATTCATAGAGAGAAACAGTACACCCCAGCAGGCACAATAAAAAGGCCTGGTGCAGAACGGGTGGCTTCCTGAGTCCAAGCTCGGACTCCATCCCAGCCAGGATAGTTGAAAAGTCCTTCAAAAAGGCATGCATTTCAAATGCCCTAGATGGCTTTGGAAATGACATCCTATGGATGGATTCTGATGATAGTGATGATGAAAACTATGTGTGTGAATCAGAAGAAGATTCAGGAGAAGATTCAGAAGAAAGTGATGCAACAACATATGGAGATATGGAGAACATTATGATGAAGAAGATGAAGATTAGTCTTACGAATTAATAACTTACCTATCAGTGCAATATTTGTTGATCCTTGTAACTACCTAGTCTTGTCTGATTAAAGATAATGATAATTTATGACTATTCTTGTTGATAACCTCTATTCCTCACTTAAATCTACACCATTTCTCCCACTGAAACCCTAAAACTCCAATCAAAAATTTGAATGAGCACTTTCCTCCATTAGCATGTATTTCTCTTCAAAGTTTTTTTTTTTTTCAATCTGACCTCTTAAAACTAGGGGGTGGACTATAATGCGGCAGGGGACTAGAGTCAGATTTTTACAGTACTTGCTGTGTTGCACTTCGCAACGACGTAGTTGTTTACAAATCACAATTGATACAGTCTAAACTAGGTAGATGTACGCCAGACCACGTCTCGCGTAACAGGCTTCGCGATATCTCACGAAACCCTGTTACGCTGCGACGCGCCTGGCATACATCTACCTGGTCCTGCGGCGCTGACACCGCGGAGCTGGCATTCAGCCCCAAAAGTCACAAATTTTGTTCCTCGGGGTTTCATTTTAACGAGTTACCCTACCGGTGACCAACAAATATCTGAGAAAAAACATAGAAATGTTTTGCGGTCATTTTCGTGTAGAAAACTCCCTCTGGTGCCTAAACGGTTAAAGATATAGCCAAATGGACGAAATTTTCGTCCGATGGACTCTACTTTGATGAGTTAACCCTTGGGAAACGGTTAAAAAATATTTTGTAAAGAACTTCATTTTGGGGACCTGCGGTTTTTGATTTTTTTTTTAAATCCAATTTTCGGGCTAGAATGCTCTTCTTCGAATTTGATCTGTCTTT